TCTTATATACATATAGCAGATATAATATACATTTACAGATGTAATAGTCAAGCTACTGATATAAGGTGTGTAAAATGATATGTATAAAATAGGCAATACATAACTATATATGATGAATAAAGTCATATGAACCAATCAAGTGCTGAGAATTGTATATGCATATTAACTTGATTGTAAACTATACACTACATTGTACATTGTACAAACTTTGTTTTTGGTATAAGTATTAGAATTATTAAAAGAAGTAGTTTAATGTTAAATACAATATGTTAACAGATTGTAAGAATTTTTTTCAAATCTAAATTTATTTTAAACATCTTAATCTTCTTTTTTCTGTTATTTTTTTTGATATATAGTTAATATAACTAGTACTAATAAATATATAATAATTATATTTGCTTCTAAGTGAAGTTTTTGGAAAGATGAATTATTTTGAATTAATTTTAACAATGAATAATAATGTTTATTAAAAACTAGAATTTGTTTTATGAAATTTTTTTTGTTAGTGAAATGTTGCATTTTCAAAAATTACTTTAAAGTATATAAATAAGCTACCTGGTAATTGACCTACATCAGCCAATTAGACAAAAGTCTGCCTATGACGTTTTGCCTAATTTCATTTATTTTTAAACATTTCATCTAGTTTTGAACATTTCACTCAGTTTTGGATATTTTATCCAATTTCAGATATTATGTTCAGTTTTAGATATTTCACCAAGTTTTAGATGTTTCACTTAGTTTTAAAAAGTTTATTTAGTTTTTAGATGTTTCATTTAGTTTCAGACATTTTACTTAGTTTATATGTTTTATTCAGTTTTAAGTATTTCAGATTTTGGATAAAACTGAAACTCAAAATCTGAAATATTTTAAACTTTAATAAAGTGTTTAGAAATAATACTAGTTATAATATGTTGCACAAGTGCTGATCAGGATTCAGAATCAAATATGCATGATTGGTTTTACAATAGTGAAATATGCATAATCATACTCCTAACAACATGAAAATTGATATAAGATGAATGTGTTTAAATTAAAAAAAAGTATTACAACCATGATGCCAATGTTTCAAAATTGCAGAATCGAAATATTAAGGGGCAAGTTAGTATACTTATAATAAAATAAACTAAAAATAAAAGTAACAGAATCAAATACTTACTCAGTTTAAATAAAACCTATGATAGTATAATTATATAAAGGCAAAATGGTGTAAAAATAGTGATTAAAGTATAAAATTAATAGAAAATTGTTTAACTGCTAAAATGTATAAAAAGCAAAAGAGAGTTTAATAAAAAATAACTAATCTTAAGCACTTCAATTAAGAAAAAAAAATGATCAAAATCATCATAATAAAATTTTTACTTGCCAATCTTTATCTATGCCTCCAAGCCTTAGTCATTGTTTTGTAATATTATATAAGATCTTGTCTATTGGAGCAACAGATTTGTCATTTACTTATTACAATAAATATAAATACAAGAACTAGAGCATTTAAATAAAAAAGTTACAAACAAGTTCTAATATGGCAGCTAGTATAGAATCTTTGAGTAAATTATTTAAATTAGACAATAACTAAAATTGTATAAGTAACTATTTATGTATTTTTCTATAATTGCTCTTTGTAGTTATAATGTAACTATTAGCTAAATATACTATCAATAAAATTCTGAATCACAAATACTTATCTTAATATTTTAAAAAATAAAATAAAATAAAAAATATATATCACTATAAAAAATTTTTTAAAATACTCTAAAATTTAATTATACATTATTTTGGTTATATTAACATTTTTGAAACATTAGTAAAATTTTTCAAAATATTAATACATTAAGTTATACAAACATTATTTATATTAAAATTTTAAAAAAATTTATTAGTATAGAAAGTTATTATTATAATTACATTATATTTATATATTAATATAATAAGAACAATATGTACTAATAAAATTTTGACTAAAATAACTATTATCTTCAAGTTTTTTTTTTTTGATATTAAAATAAGGTCATGCTCTTTAGTCTTTATTAGTATATTCATAATAACTAGTACAAATCTATTTTATACATCATTTATCACTATATATTTATTTAGATATAAGATTTAGACATATTTATCTGTGACCTATACCTACCAGAGTTCTGTATTGTGTTCTACTTACATCTAACCTGAGTTTTTGTTTCACTACTAATTATATTAGGTAACCTGCATATTCTTTTATATTTTATAACCTATTTTAACAACTTCCAAATTGGTCCACCAGGTCGTTTACTTCTTTTGAACTACCATCTTTGGTTTGCCCAAAAGGTGCTTCTTTAGCATATATCTCAAGCCAGGTTTTTACTGCCTGCTAACTTCCCAATTCAGATACTAGTAACATGTATCTCAAGTCAGGTTTCTGCTGCTGCTACTAGTTTACAATCTTTTTTGGTCTTAGCATTATGTCTAACAGATTGTGCATCTAATCTGCCCTTTAAGTACTTCCTTTTATGATATAGATGAAACTCTATTTCAGAAATAGATACACATTCTCTTTCAACTATAGACTGGTATTTCCACTACTAACACAAAGTTTAGAGGTTTCAACTTCCAATTTAGGTATCTTAACCATAATTGATATTGTATTTATGTTGGTATGTTCCACTTGTTTTACTATAGGCTTCTATATAGGTGTGATCAGAGCTTCAATTTGGAACCTTTAGATATATAGAACAGATTATAACTTTTTTATACAGATGACTATCTTCTATTCTTAGATGTTCTATTGTGCCAGAGGTGCTTCTAATCTTAATAAGACTAATTTTTTATTACAAACCTTCTATGCATGCATCACTTTTCTCACCACTCCAGTTCGTGTTATCTTGGTATCACTCTCCCAATCAAGTACTCTACAAGTTGAATGTGGAGATGTTGGTACTGTTCCATTTCCAGAGAACTTACATGCATAAACCTTTGTGTAACAGAACCTTCTGTAATGCCATTGTCACACATAGTGCCCACACTCTGCAGAGTTGGTTTCCTTCTGAGAATTTCTTTTTCTGTTATATATTGCACTTGGACTTAACCATAGGGCTTTGTGTTCAATCATAGGCTCCTTATAGGTTACAAAAGCTAAAATCTTTCGATTTTTCCTTCAGTTAGATTTGAATTGTTAATCTTAACTGTAGGGGTAGGGGAGCTTAACCATTAAGCTATGGGACCCACATTCTATCTTCAAGTTTATTATATTATCAATTTAATAATATTTATTATAATTTTTTTAACAATAGTCCAATATAATTTGAAACTTCTAGAGTTGATAACATAGTAATTATGTTTCTAAGTTATGAATCACAAGGCTGCCAGTTCAAATCCTAGTGATGACAATTGTAAAATGTATTTCTAAAAATAGAAAACTGTAACACTATGAGACTAGGAACTCGGGACATTCATAACAAGTGACTTGTAGTTAAGAAATCACACAGTGATAAACATGAGTTAGAGCCTGATTTGAAATAATTAAAATCATAAGATGTAATGTGAAACTAAAAGTCTGATAATAAGAAATACTACATAACTCATAACAACAACTAGTTCTAAACAGAGCCTGGTGAAACCTTCTGATTCTGGCAAAGGTCAATGTAACTAATTGCTTCTAAAAAGTTTAAAAACATGGACTGGAAGATGTTGAGATTCAGTGACTAAATACATTAAGAACATTAGTTTGAAAATATAGGACACAAAAAAGATCTCAGCAAGATCATCAAAGGGAAAAAAAAATAATTTGATAGTTTAATCACAGATCAATTATAAAATCTTGGTGCAAGGATAAGGATTTTTATGTGCTTTACTGTATAATTATAAATATAAAATAATAGTCAAATAAATTTTTTTAAAAAAAGAGTAATATATAAACAAAATGTATTTGTTATCTAATTACATAGCAGTTTAATAATGAAATATATAAACAACAATTATCATTAATAATTGTTTTTTATTTTTTTCACATTTTATGCGTTTAACTAAATTTTACTAGTACTTTACCTACAGTAAATAACTATATTAATTTTTTAACAAGTGTAAATCCGATATTATCAGAATTTATTATTAAATTTAAGACATAATAACTGATATTGAAACTTTAAAACTAAACTCAGTCAGTTCTAGATATAATGAACCTCTTTATAATGAATCTACTCTATAATGAACTTTTTTTTTAGCAAAATTATTATAGTTTAATACAAAATCATAGTAAATTTTTTATAAAAAAAAATTGGAAAATTATAAATATAGATTCGTAGGGTTTGTTATATCCAGAGCCAATTGTTAAGAATTTAAAATCAGATAATAGATAGCTAAATTTTATAATAAAATTTACAGTCGCTATATAAAATATTATATAAGTAATATATTTATACCATGTAAATTTATAGTAAAATGTACTTAGTATTAATATTATATAGATTAAATTTATGATCCTTCAAAGTTCATGATAAGTGTATCTAAACCTACTACAGGGATAAATAAAATAATAATTTTTAGCCTTATATTGAAATCCTTCTCGCAATTCTGTAAGTTCACTACAAAAAAAATATAAAGTTTTATTAAATATTTGTTAGGTAATAGATGAATTTGCACTATTTGCACTACATGTATGACTCAGACGAAATTTTCGTGCAAAATAAGCAATTTTACTTAATCTATCGCAACCTGATCATCTTGATGAGTAGAGCAACAAATAAGAATTTGTTGCAATATACAGCATTTCAGTTATCTAAACTATAGTCAACGATAAAATGATTAATTTACGCAGCAATCAAGGGCTTAATGAACTTTATGATTGTTGCAATCTTAAGGAATATGTATATACAAATAAATGCACTGGGTTTGTAAATTAATTTTACCGTCAACGATAATTTAATATAGATTCTTTCACGAATAATATATAAAAACGTACCGATTATGCGCAAGACAATCTAAAATATAACAGAGCTTCCAAGCTGCAATAGTAAAACTATAAAGTCTTACATGATTAATGGCATTATTAATGCCATTACCCTTTTCAACTTTAATTTCCCGTTTAAAACACAAGCTACTTTGACGGTCGAGCTTGTATTTACATATATTATCATTATAAGTTGAGGTAAAACAATTCTTTCGAATTTAGCTTCAAGATTAAGCGGAGTTAATACATCTTCGCTTTTTTCCATAGATGCTATAAGCTTAATATTGTATTCTTTAGGGGTTTCTTGATAATAATGAGAAATATTGGTGATTCCAGTTTGATCAAATAAGAATGTAAAAGTCTTTGTAGAATCGCAATAGATTGGTGATAATTTTTTGGACCACACAATTTGATGCCAGTCATCATATTTTAACTAAATCAAGAGTAATTATTTATTATTATTATTATAAGATTTTATATAAAAATTAATTTACCTTGAGTTTTAAGTCAGAGTTTAATTTAGAGATAACAACTTCGTGCATTACCAAAGGAACAAGTGTGTTCCACTTTTTGCAAACTGTTCGTAGTGTGCAAAGTTTCTCAAAACTACTATTTATAATAATGATAATAATAAGTAAATTGACAAAATTAATTTTTTCTGAAGTACATTAGTTTCTTACTTTATTTCAGCAACAAATGTCAAGATTTTAATATGTAACTCGTTAGGAAGAATTTGATTCATTTCGAAATTTTCGAAAATGTGACTCACTCCTCCAAGTTTTAATAAATTTGTTTGCAACACATGGCTTGTACAAGTTACACCTATGTTAATCATGGGACCAGAAATGGGTAACAATTTAGCATGGTATTAGTTATAAGTATATATTATTATTTTTAGTAATTTATCGCATAATGTGATTTAATTTTTTACATCTATAAGTGGCCGAATTTTCAATTAAACCGATAGTGATTGAATAAAATTGTTACATGGGGTTAATTGTATTTTCGTGCATCTATTTCTGTATTTAAAGTTGTACATACATAACTTCAAGCACTTGAAGTTAAGCTTGCTAACTAACGCTAATGTAATTTCAGAGGCTAATTCCAGTCAATATCATGATATTTAGCTGCACGACGCTGTCACATAAAACCAGGAACGGAAGGTTAAATTGCAATTCACAGTTTATTTATTAATATTTGTCAAATAAATTAAAATTTCAATATTTTTAGGTAAGGTTAAACCAATTTGATTTAGTGGTTTAAATTATTCTGTTTTGCCATTTCTTCTAGTAAAAAAAAATTTAGAATATATATGACTTTCTGAAAAATTCTAAAAAAATTTGAATAAACATGGAAGATGAGCAAAGTTAGGTGGACCGTTTTTGGTTGAAAAAAAATTTGATAAAATTTCTCATATAAGCAATCATTTCCTCTCCTTTAAAAAAAGAATGTAAGCCAATAAATTAAATTGATCATGCCAAACTTGTTAAACATGCATGTGATGGATTATTTCTTTATTTTTTATTATTATCTTTTTCATATTATATCTTTGTATTTTTATCTGCTTATTTATATTTAGCTTAGTTTAGTATCTCAAATATGATAAAATGACAAATGATTATTAATGACTGGTATATAGTAAATTGGCACTGTACGAAAACACAAATTAGGACAGTCATGTGGAAATCATAATAGTACTGTTTTTTTGGTTTTTAAAAGAAAAAATTCTTTCGAAACAAAGTTAATTTTCTATAACTATATATGAAAAAAATAATGCTTGCACTTGCCCTAACTGTAAACATCAAAAAAGGGTTTACTTGTAAAGGATTAGGTCTTCTTTTCATTTGGTATGAAAAATGTAACAAATCACAAATGAAATTTGTACAAGATTTTGTCAATCATCTGACTAGATTGATTGACATCAACTTGTATTAAGCTAATTTTAAAGTTAATATTAAATTAGGATTAGATTGGGTTAAAAAAGAATTTATAATTAAAATTATATATCAAAATTATGAGAAGAATTTTCTTGATAGAGCACAAAAAGTGGTTTCGTAGACAACATTTTAAGACAGAAAGTTAATTTTGTCAACCATGATTGACAAAACCTGACACAGATTTCTCACTTGCTGATGAATCATTATTGTGGTTCATAAGCATTATGTCACAGATTCAGTATGTGTTATAACTGTATTAACAATATAATAGTAATCAACCACATCAAAAAAGTAATGTTAACTTGAATACATTTTAACAGATCTCTTATTATAGCTCTAAATAACAAGAGATCAGATATCATCAAGTTGGAGTATGTGAAATGATTATATTATTGACACAAACATAACAAATATTTATGGCCAATAAGATTAGATTAAAAGTAACCAATAATTTCATAACAAATTATTGTATTATCAATAATTACTTAAAAAATCATCCAATGGTCTCTTTATTAATTATGATGCAAGATATCAATATTAAGATTATTACACGTAAGTAATTAATATTAAGCTTATTATGTATAAGTAATACAAATATGACTTAGTTAAATTTATAGCTATTCTGAAAACAAGTGTTCTCTGTGAAGAAGCTTTTTTTGTAGAAGCAAAAACAATTACAAAAGTTCGTAACTGTCTTTTTCCTGAAACTGTCTAGGTATCACTTTGTCTAAAAAGCTAGATGGAACAAGACATTAGAATATAATTGATATACTATATATTTTCATTATGTAAATCACTATGTATGAGCAATATGTAATATCAATTCAAATATATAAATAAACTTACAAAGGTAAATACATATATAATATTGAATTACAAAAAATCATTGTCTCTGCCTTATATATTTCAATGTGCATTGTAATTAATAAGCCACAGCTAAAGCTAAGCTACAGCTATGTTGCAGCTCCAAGCTATAGCTTAAGCCACAACTTAAGCTGCAGCTCTAAGACATAGTTTAATCACATTTTAAGCTGTAGCTTATCAGCTTGGAATGGCTTGACTCTATTATGCAGCTAAAGCCAATTTCAAATAAGCTATTAACAACTCTATATATATATTATGAAATTACATATATTGTAAATTTGAAAATGTAATTTTCAACCCTAAATAAAATATGTTCCTAAGCTAATTTTATCATTATACAGACTCAAACCTTAAACAATTAAAAAATTAAATTCTGGTCAAAATTATATATAATGTGGACTAAAATTTTGTTGATCACAGCCATTGGCCAATCAAAATTGAGGTTCAACTAAAGCATGGTGCCATAAATAGCTAATTACTATAATTATATTTACTACATATATTTTTACAAAGGTTTTTTTAAAACTGTAATTGTAGTAATAGTTATTACATGTAGTAATAGTTACTATACATAGCAATATTTACTACATGTAGTAATTATTTACTATATGTAATTATATTAATAATTAACGTGGATTTTAAAAATAATTTATGACAAAGATTAGTTATTCTCTAGTAATCAAATGTAGCTATCAAAATCATATGAAGTGTTTATAAAAAAAAAATTTATTGTAAAGAAATTATTAAATTTATAACTACACTATTGCTACTATGTATTCACAAATATAAAGCTTTGACAACTTTCTGTATTTCTCATTAGCAGTCTTACAGAACTTCTTATATAGAAATTCATTAAAGCTTTGTGCTATATTCAAATTAACAATTAGAGAAGTGCATATATGAGGTTTATATTAAGTAATAATGATCTTATTTACTAATTTATATACTGTATTTTGCAGAATAAAATATCCTTTATGCCAAATAGTATAGATCTTCTTAAATGTTTGTTGTATATGAATATGATGTACATTAATTATAATATTTAATTTTTATGCATAAAAAAATTTACATCATATAAATACTTTATTTTGCAAAATACAGTAATTTTGATGCTAAACAAAAGCTATTCATGTTGCACAAGCAAATCTTATTATATGATTTATATACTAGAGGTATGTTTAAAGCATACTAAGTAGAGAATACCTTGGTCTATGTTATGCCCCTGAGAGCATTTTTGTAAATGTATTAATCAGTAATTTTATCATAATTTTAGTCAATACAAATGAGATAGAGTTGAGTATTCATATTTGGAGTAGATCAAATTAACCTATTCTTTTTTATTTATTGAACTTATATTACTTAAAAAAAATTTTAGATACAGCTTTTTTTTTGTTAAATAAAAATCTCATCAACCAAACTATCTACATCATAATTATAATTTGGCTGTTCTCCAACTATATTTTCAGAATTTGATTCAGTATTATCACTTTTACCTTTTTCTTTAAAAACTTCATGATTTAGTTCAAAACTTTCTTCTAATATCTAATGATTCAAATTCTATTTCATCATCATTATCAGAATCATTATCTGAATCATTATCATCTAACTCTTCATCTTTATTTGCTATAACTAACATATCCTCTAAAGTAAGCTTACAATTAATATAAGAACTTTCTTCTTTGATATGTGTTGTATAATATTGATGAATCTTTGCTAATGCTTCTAATTTTCAAATGCTAATCTGGTTCTTTTTTTTTCATAGATCCATTCCAAAGTTAAAAAAACTCTTTCACAAGAAGCAGAATGTAGAGTAATATTAAGAAGCTTAATTACTAAAGAAGGAAGCTAATTGTAAACATTTTCAAATGCTTTCTACCATGTTTGCGGTATTTGGCAATCAGGTTCAAATAGATTATTATAAGGTGATTTATTGTTTTTATAAAAAGCAAGTTGTTCTAAAAGTTGTCAGCAAGATTCTTCACTTTTTCCAAAAGCTTTCCACAAAGTACTTGCATATTTTGCGATTTTTTTATATTAACCTCTTTTAAAAACTATGACCTAATATTTATATACAATATTATAATAGATTTTAAAGTAAACAAGCATAAGATGCTATATCAAAACAACTAAAAAATAAAAAAATAAATAAACATACAATAGATATATACTTTACCCTTAAATTTTGGATGAAAAAATATGCCAAATAATATATATTGTTATTAAACTCTAAAAACCATTTATTAATAGAAGTAATACAATATCTTCAAAAAGTAACATGTTGGTCTTGAGGTATTTGATAAATTGCAGCTGCCAATTTAATTAAATAGACAAAGTAGTCTGCTAATATTGAATCACGACTTTCAAGTTGAACAATAGATTCTTTAATTGGTCATAAGATCGTAGTTATAAAATATAAATCATCATAAAATGAACCTTTATTTAGTATCACATATACTTCATTATTTATAATAATATCTGAATTATGTTCTAAAATCTTTATAAATATATAATAATTAGTTTTATATTGTAGTAAGATTATTGGATTAAAAATCAGTTTCATTATATTGAGAATTTATTATTATCAACTTACTCAGAAAAATGCAACCTTTAAACATAATATTGAATAAATTGTATTTTAATAACTTGACCAAAAAGTTGTTACATATTATTTAATACTTCTATCTACAATATAGTTAATTTGAATTTCATTTTCAAGTGCTGCATTAGTCGTATGAGATGATTTAAAAAATTGAGCAACTAAAGTTGCCTGAGACAAAATAAATTTTGAAAAAGATTCTTTCATAATATCTTTACAAATCAAATTTAGCTGATGGGCAATACATGATACATTTATTATATAAGAGAATTTTTGTATAACTAGCCATCTTGCTGCTACAATATTTGCACCACTATCACTTACTACTGTACAAAATTTTTCAACTCCAATTTGAGTAATAATTGTTTCAATTTCTTGTATAAGAAATTCTGCTGTATGATGTACATCTGAATAGTTACACAAATTGTACAAATGTTCTTTTCGATTGGGTGTCAGAAGTAAAAATTCCAAATTGATCAGTCTTGTAGATCTGTCTACCCATCAAGTGTTATAAGATATAAAAAATATTATTACACATTTAATTGTAAAAAATAAACTTAAAGCCATACAATTTAATTTTTTGGTTTTCATAAAATAAAACTTTTAAATAGACCTGGTGGCTTTATTTCATTAATTTTATATACAAAATTTTTATAAAAAAATTTTTTAAAACCCATCTGACTATTAAATATATACAAAAAATTTTTCAAAACTTTTAAATTTGAACCTGACCGGGTTATGAAATCCAATTAATTAACTTTGTATGACCTTACTAATAATTACATACCAAGAATAATATTTTTTTTATCTTACAGTTCATTTTCCATTTTTATTTTTACCATAATAAGTTGTTTGTTAAAAATCCTTCCTGCAAGTGTTTTAGGACTAGGTATGCTAAAAGCTGGTCTAAGTTCTTGCAACCATGCACAAAAAATTTTATTTTTGCCAACATTAAATAAGATACCTGTACAAACAAATATATGACACATGCTATCTTCTAATTGTTCTTGTCTTTTTGAAGATAATTCTTGATTTTCAACATATTTAAGGATACTTCCTTATTTTTTGTATTTGCTTTTCATTTTTTACTTGAATTTTGACTTTCATTTTCAGTTAATTGCTTATAATACAAAAGTTGCACTTCTATTGGAGCTTTAGAACAATTACACACAATATGCATCTTGAAAGTTGATATATCACCACTTAACCACTGTTGTGGACAATACTTGCAACTAGCTGAGTAATGACTATTTTTTTTTCTAGTTAATTGAAATGTTCCCAAACAGAATTAAAAGATCGTCCAGCTATTTTTTGTTAAGCATTACTATTAGATATTTCAGTTGAGGTAGATTCTTCATTATCAATATCATCAGGTGAAGACATTTTTGAAACAAAAAAAAGTGATCATTGCAGTATATTAGTAATTGAACTAAATAATTCTATTTGGGTCACCTGATCGTGAACCCAGATAAGTATAATACAATCCAAGTTTCTGGACTAATAATAGAATATTTGTGTATATATACACTATATTTGGCAATCATTTGTGTTTAGGTAATATATGGTAACAATATTCACAATATATAGATTGTTCAAATACTCTAATTGTCATTTTTGACTTTTGGCCTATACAATAAATATTAAATAGACATAACAGATAAATATTCATAATATAGTATTTATTAAATTTTTGATAATTAAATATCTTACTTCAGATATCATTTTGAAATATATTAGTATCATGATTCAATTTATTTCCTTAATTACAGTTATATAGCTTTCAGATCTTTAAAAGATATTTAAATTAATATAAGTTAAATATTCTTATAGTTTTAAAAATGTAACTCATGGAGCCTACATTTTAGCAATGTGGTCCTTCCAAAAATGTAACAAAGAATAGGAAGCCTTAGTTTTCCAAACTGATTGAAGATCAACTTAGTCTTTCTTTAACCACAACCAAAAAACAACTCATAATGTCACGAACTTTAAACTCAACTACCTTAAATCTTTCAAAATTAAAATCCTATT